AAATCAATACCCCAATAGTAGCCTCTGGGTTTTGCACGTGGTACCAGAGGCAGTTTGGGAGAAGATGATCTAATACACCACATATTGATTAATCAATTCAGGCAGGATGCTAATGGGCTTTTCTTACAACACTTGGCACTGGAAGGAAGGAGCAGGAATGCTGAATGGGAGTGGGAGAAACCGGTTGTGCGATGAAGTTTCAGGGAGAGAGGAGGGGCATGGAGTGGGGAAATGGGCCCTTCTGGAGATCACTCTGAGTGGTCTGAGACTGGGAATAAATGGAGGAGCTGAGCAACGAATGGAGAAGGTAATAAATCAGGTGTATTGGCTTCAAACCCAGCAGAACTGTACCTTGCAATTTACTGTGGTTGATGACAATCCTTTCCTGTTGCTACAAAAACCCTCCCAGGCAGGGCTGTGAGAGAGCCCAGCGTGGGTCTGGAGGCTGTAAGGAAGCAGAGTGAACTCACTGCCCTCCTCCTGCCACTGCAGAGGGCTGAGGGCATTAGTAATGCCTCCTTTAGTTATCTTTCCACATAAATACAGGCTCAAACAAGAGCATTGCACAGCCTGAAAGCCAAGCAGAGTCATTCAGTCATTGCCAACTGGGTGAGATTATGCTGCTCTGGGAAAGTGGAAAGAGTAAAACCGAGCAACTTAGAGATTTTGACAAAAAATGTCAAGCAAAGACCCCTGTGAGGAAATTCAGCTTGGTCTTCACAGCCAGCAGGGTCATGCCAGGTGGGAAGGTGAGTGGTAGGGCTTCCTAAAATTGAGTCACAGGTTTTGCCACCCAATATTGTGCAGTTCGGTCACTGATTTACTGCAGGACATTGTGAGAACTTGCTCCTGCTCACCCACCCGTCCCACAGCAGCACCTTGGGGTGCCACAGCAATTCCTACACTTGGCAACAGCCCACTGACACAAGACCTGCTGCAGGAAAGCAAGTCACAGAGTCACTGAATCAACAGGGTCGGAAAAGACCTCTGAGACCATCGAGTCCAACCTGTGACCCAACCCCACCTTGTCACCCAGCCCATGGCACTGATGCCACAGCCAGGCTCTGCTCAAACCCCTCCAGGGACGGGGACTCCACCCCCTCCCTGGGCAGCCCATTCCAAGGGCTGAGCACTCTCTCTGCAAAGAACTTCTTCCCAATGGCCAACCCAAACCTCCCCTGGGGCAGCTCAAGGCTGGGCCCTCTTGTCCTGCTGCTGGTTCCTGGGAGCAGAGCCCGACCCCCCCCCGGCTCCCCCTCCTGTCAGGGGGTTGCAGAGAGTGAGAAGGTCCCCCCTGAGCCTCCTCCTGTCCAGGCTGAGCCCTTCTTTGGACATGACCTCAAACCACCACAGCCCATCACAGCACCTGCAGAACAACCCCCAGGAAAACAGGAACAACCCTCCTAAAAAGCAGGGTGAGGTGCTATGAGAAAATACACAAATTAAATCCCTTTTTCTTCCACAACAACCATTTCCCAGACTACCACAAAGCAGAGCAGCACCCCAGGAGCCCTCCAGCCCCTCCAGCAGACTCACATTGTAGAGGATGTCTGTCCATCCCTCCATGGTGATGCACTGGAAGACGGTGAGCACAGCAAAGAGGATGTTGTCGAAGTTGGTGATGCCGTAGTTGGGCCCTTGCCAGTACTCCCTGCAGGTGGTCCCGCTCTCACACTGCCTGGCAGGGGGCTCCTCTCCACAAGGGAAATCTCCCACCTCGTCACCTGCAGAGAGGGGAGAGAAGTTACCAGCTGAAGCCGTGAGAGCAGCTGGATCCTCCCTGCAGTCGCAGTTTGGGTCTCCTTGGGTTTCCACTGTAAAGTCATCATGCCCAAGTAAGCATTTATAAGCTGCTGTGGTATGAGAGGTGATTTAGGGTGCAGCAGAGCCATCCCTGAAGCGCCCATCATTTATAGTTGGCCCCAGTTCATGTCATGGAATCGTGGGAATGACCTCCGTGATTCCGGAGTCCAACCGTCACCACAGCACCAGCACCACGTTCACCATAAACCATGTCCCCAGGTGCCACATCCACAGGATTTTTGAACACTTCCAGGGATGGGGGCTCCCTGTTCCAATGCCTGACCACTCTTCCAGTGAAGAAATTTTCCCTGATCTCCAACTGGTGCAACTTGAGGCCGTTTCCTGTCATCCTGGCACTTGTCACTTGGGAGAAAAGGCTTCCAAACTGCTAAGAATTTCCAGCTGAACACATCTAAGAGGCCTGGAGACAGTGTGAGAGCAGCTGATTATGAGAAACACCACAAAAAAACCCCAAAAGTGTGGTAAAAACAAGGGCTTAGGGACAGCACATGCTTCGAACACCTTCCTACAGCACAGCCAAGGGTTAAATATTGGCATTATAACATTAAAGCTGAAGGGGAGGTTCTGGATCAAGAAAGACCTGGTTGTGGACAGCCCCAAAATTGTCCAGGTACAGATGTTAGACCAAAGCTGCATGAGGAGCCCTTGGTTTTATCATGAGGGAGAACCACCACAGCAGCCTGAAAGGTGGACTGAGGGCTCCAGTCCCTCTGTAAGCTCCACATTTTTGCTCCACGTGGCAGGGAAAGCTGCCAGCTGATGCTGCTTCTCTGCTGAGTTTCACTTCAGACCCAGAGAAGGCCAAAGTGGATGAATCTGTCAGTGAAGGACCATCAGGAATGGCCAGGAAGGTGCTCAGCACCTTCCAGGGTGAAAAGCCTGAGGGGTTTCAGGTAGTTTGGGCAATCAAAGTGCTGAGTTTTCAGAGAAACCAAACATACTCAGTAATATTCCTATTTACAGAGTTGCAATTTGGGGAGCATTAAAGGGTTTTTTAAGTGACAAGTTATTGTAATGGAGCAGCAAACTGCACAAAATCCAACTCACCGGGGGGGAAAACAAGAGCAGCACTAACAAGAATTAGGAAAAATCATTCCACAGAGCAGAGGCTGCAGGAGGAAAACAAGGTTGTCACTGTGGACCAGGATAAGTGTGTGTGTATATAAATATATATATATATATAAATATATATTTTTGTATGTGACACACTTTCCTGTTGACTCAACACCTTGATGCAGGGCAAACCTCCAGCTCCCATATGGGTCACCACAGGCTCTCATGAGGGTTTGGTGAGAGAAGGCTGCAAAAAAGAAAATGCCAAATCTGGCTCGTGCAGATCGTTTGTGAGGATGCAGTAAAAGGGGATCCAGTTTCATCTCAATTTGGCTTCTTGCTGCCAGGTAATGCTGTGAAAATTCAGTTCACAGAGGGCTGGGGGAGGGGTGTCCTTTTTAAAAGAAGAGACCAGTGGCTGGGGAAGACAGAGAAAAGGGGAATCTCGAGGAAAAATAGGAAATAAATGTGATGGCCTTCTCTCTTGGAGCAGCTTCAGGGCACTTGGGTTGTGTCAGCTGCTTAAAAATGACCCTGTGTCAGCAGAACAGGACAGAGTGGAGGATGTAGGGAGAGGGAAACACCTCAGGTGTCCCCTGGAACATGCACTGCCATCACAGAATCTTCTCAGCTGGAAGGAACCCCCAAGGATCATCGAGTCCAGCTCTGAAATGAACGGCCCTGCCAGGGATCAAACCCACAGCTCTGCTGTTGTCAGCACCGTGCTCTGACCAGCTGAGCTAACGTTGATTTTCACCCATTTGTCACCACCGTAAAGCTCTATTTCCACACCACACAGTGGCAAGTGGCCCCATTTGGGTCCCCAACATCCCTCCTGACCTGCCCGCGGCTGTCGGATCAGCGGGGTTACAACAACACTCCTTGTTGACAACTCCCCTTGGTTCCCCTCGCGATGCGCTGAGGTAACACTTGGTACCTCTCATGGGGCTCCCGGTTCCAGGAAAAATCCCAGGAGCTCGCTCACTTCGGGGATTTGGAACAGAAACGAGCACGAGGGGCTGCGACTCCTCCTCCAATTTCCTCCCCTCTGACAGAGGCGTCTCCTTAATGAGCTTCACATTTCCACTCTCAGGCCCGTTCGGAGCCCGTGGCTCGTTAATGCACCTCTTTGGAGATGCTGATTAGGTTTTAAAAGGCTCCGCTGATGGTTTGTGGCTGCTCTGCCGCTCCAGGGACGGCAGCGCCAGGAAACCTCAGCGCATCTCCCTCCCAGAAACACCATTTCCCGGCCAGCAGCTGGAACTGATCCCCATAATTCACCCAACAACATCAAGCAGCCCTTCAGGACAAGGGGGGTGCACAGACACCTTCCACAGCCTGCACAAGATCATCCTCAAGTGCCCCAGAGGATCATCCAAACCCTCCTGGAGCTCTGGCAGCCTTGGGGCTGTGCCCACTGCCCTGGGGAGCCTGTTCAGTGCCAACCACCCTCTGGGGGAAGAACCTTTCCCTGAGATCCACCCTGAGCCTGCCCTGACACAGCTCCAGCCATTCCCTGGGGGCTGTCCCTGCTCCCCCCAGAGCAG